ATGAACAGTCTGCTATTCACTTTCCATAAGAAATACGCATGTGCAATAAGTAAAACAGATTTTTGCATGTTCTGCAAGAAATTAATGTATATATGTACAATAGAAGAGTATTTTAGAGACTGCTCCATGTTAAACTCTCTCTTTAAAGCCACTTCCATAATATCACAACAGCTTTGCAACAGACACCAAACACTTATTTCTTTCCAGCAGAGAAGCAGATGTTACACTCATTAACTCATGTAATTACCTTGTCGCATAATTTTGTCCCTTTGGTCCAAAAGACGGTATCTTTCTTCAGATGTCTCGGCCACTAATCCTACCAGGTTACCAAGAGATGACAATGAAGCTCCCAAGGCCTCTGAGCTCTGCCCTTCAGAACTAGAATCAAACAGATCTGCTTCAAACTGCAGCGCCTTTCGAAGACCAGGCTTCTTTGCTGGAGAACTAAAAATAGAAGATTTTTTAATCAATAATACACTAATGCATGCCCCGGCCTTAATCAGTTCACTGTTCTTTAGGACATCAACATCTCTGTTCAGAAGAACATTTTGTTCACAAAGCAATGTATCAAATAAACAAAGTATGTATCGACATACTAAGGTTGTTATGAGCTAACACTAGCACTGGGGGTTAATCTGGTTAAATCCTCAGTACTGCCTTGACAACACTGCCAAGCATTCCTGACTGTAGTGAAAGCCTCAACCTTTGTAAAATAGAAATGGTATCACTGAATCTGTCTTAGAGTGGCCAGAACCAGATGGCTGTTGCAGCCTTTTCGCATCACTATGGCACAGCAGTTTGCATTTTAAGCCAGGAACTAGCCTGCTGTTTGGTGTGAAAAAAAACAAATGCTTTCTATGGCAACAGAGATTATCAAAAGATTTCACAGGGCCCAAATACAAACATACTTTTTAAAATCAAGGAACATTCATTCCTTCACAACATATTACTAATTTTATAATTATATGACTATGCACACCAATGACTTTTGTGAAAACAGACACACCATTAAGGTACCACAGAAAGATGACAACCTTGCCACTTCAGCGACTGACACAAAACAGGAGGATTCCTGTACAAAGACTACTCACTTGAAGCAAGACAAGACGACGATCCAAACTCAGCAGCTACTCTGAAAAGGGGATTCTCATTCCACAGAACTGTAATTGCCTACAAATGAAACTACTCACTTCAGAAGCTCATTTAATCATGACCACAGAACAGCATCATTACTGCTTGGTCCTAGTTTGGCTCTGCACCATTTCATTCAACTCCCTTATGCCTCACTATTGCAGGTGTTGCTACTCATGTTGTTATGAACAAAATATTCAAAAGAAATACACAGACCAAAGTAAAAGACCTTAATAAGCAGTTAGAAGTGTCTTTCTGACAAAGTGTGAGATCTGTGAGCTTGTAATTCAGACAAACCAGAAGAGACAAGGGAAGCACATTCCTCGTGAAGAACATGACTATTTGGCACACACTGATCATCATTTTCCCCCATGCACCCTGTTTCCTGCCAGATGGATCCCCAGGGAGCAGACATACCTTTTACCAGGCATCACACTGCCGGCAGAGGATCTTATCAAAGGTTTTCGAAGAGGGGAATGCTGATAGCTTTGCTCTTCACTGCTTTGCCTTCCTTCATCTTCACCTGCTTTCTTCTCCTTGCACGAAAATTCTCTTTTTGCTGGACCTGAAGTGACATATAAACATGAAGCCAGGTACTTGCCAAATAGTTTAAGCAACAACTCTTTTTTACCCATAGGAGTGGTGGTTAGCAGTTTGTTTTAAAAAAATACTATTAGAAAATAAAACTAAGAGTCAGTTTTGTACATGTATGCAAAACTTCCAGGACAACTTGCACTAGAAGCTGTACCGACTAAGTCGACCAATTGCTAGTCAGCTTCACTGTTCTATCATCAGTATAAAATAATATAAAAAATAAGTATTTTTCAACAAAATATCACTTAGCAATAACTATAATTGATCAGCAGATTGTCAGTAAATTAAGTCTGACCACCATCTGAATTTAAGTTCTCTCAGGTGTGGGATATAATCCGTAAGTCATAACTCTCCACAGGATATGAAATCCATTTCACTTATGTA